CAATCATAAAAAGTTGAAAACCACTTGGTTGGTTCGGACGCCAAAAACCATAGCCGATAACCGAGAGACGAACGCCGGTTTCTGAAACCTAAGCGCCGGATGGCTTGGTTTTTGGTTTGGGCGAACACCAAGTGTTTTTAATGACTTAAAAATGTTTGAAAAACTTTTTTTTATGATTTAAGAAATGTAATGAAGGATTTTAGCCTAAAGAGCCAAGGTGTAAAGATTGGGTCGGTCTTGATCACAATGAAGACCGACTCACGACACTAAAACTAAGGTCTTCGTTCTTGGTCTTCTTTTAGCTCTTGTTCTTGTCTTCCTTCTTCGCCTTGTATATTCAAAGTTTGACTTGATCACGGCGGTTTGGCATTATCAAAACCTGTCATAAGAACAAACACGGCTTTAGTACGAAAACGTGACATGCTCGTGTTTCAACAATTTCCCCTTTTTTGATAATGGCAAACGAGATGAGGTTATGCATATGAGGAAGACTTAGAGTATCGGCTATGGACTGTAAGGACGCCTTGGCGGGAGCGGGGGCAGGGGCAGGGGCACGGGCACGACTCGGTCCAGCGCCGGTTCCGTCACCGGACTTCTTCCGGAAGGTGCTGTCTTGGATGATCCAAATCTTTGTCATCTTCGTGTTCGGGCCGGCGATGTGGATTTCGGCCGCGACAATGAGATCCATGACGAGGAAGGCGTAGGGCAAGCTCCTTTCGGTGGCGATTGAGGCGCAATCCGCCATGTGGATCATGACGTATTTCGCCCAATTGATCGAGGCGCCATGGGTGATTGCATGAACGACCTTGAGATCCTCGTTGAAGAGACACGTGTGGCTGCCGTCTCGGGGGCGAAGAATCCGGGTGAGGATGTAGAGTAGAAGGCGCTTCTCCGGCGGGGCTGAGTGAATGGTTGGTGCGCCGCTGTGACGGACGAGGTTGGTGATTCCGAGCTCTCGGATGACCACCGCCTCGTTCTTGAGGATCCAATCATCGCCACCATAAGTCGCGATGTCGTCACCGCGAGTGGGCAAACCTGCGATCCGGGCAAAGATAGCCAAATCAAACTCGAAGTCCACGAGATTGATGCTGCTGCGAATAGTATCCCCGTCCCGGCGGAGATTGGAGTAGAATGCCCGAACGTAGGCGGGATTGAAGGAGGTGCGACTGCGGGAGACGAAAGGCCACAGACCCGACTCCTTGAGTTGATTGTCAAGGTCGTAGTAACCCTTCTGTTGAGGGTATGGCTCGGGTAGCACGCGGGGCGGAGAGATCGGGCGCTTGGCGAAGTAGGTGATGAAGCGTGTGAGTTCTTCTTCTGACCCGAACTCCAAAAAGGAACCGTCGAGATATGGGAAGGGTTGAGGCGCGGATGACGTAGCCTCGGTGGTGACCTTCTTCTTCGAAGCCTTTGTCTTCTTTCCTCCAGCCATGATTGAAGCAAAAGGGAAAAATTTATGAAGAAAAAGGGATGAACTATGCAAAGATAGACTAGAGGAATGAAATATGGATGTAGATTGTGATTAGAAGTGACCAAATAAGGTGTATATATATAGGGAAGGAGTGGAAACCGAAAAGTGTTCAAAAAATATGACTGTTGGGCATTTAATTCGTTGCCCAACGGTTATATTTTTTTTGAAGTTTGGCAGGCTCCCATCGATGGTATGATCTAACCATCGATGGGATGATCATCACTGGAAAGCACGGAAGAAATTAAGGCTGCCTTCCCATCGATGGTCAAACTCACCCATCGATGGGAGGGTGGCTACTGGAAATCCGTTAAAACG